TTTCGACATCCAGGTCGATGATGTCACGATCATGTTGATGTCTCCTAGGTAGGTCATGGCGCCTAGGTCATGGCGCCTAGGTCATGGCGCTTAGGTCATGGCGCCTTGGTCATGGCGTCGATGCACCAACAGTTTTCCCGTGTTGCAGGGTCAGTTGTCTTTCATTCCTTGAATTCTTTTGTTCCATTGGCCAGTCTTTTCGATGTGTTCTTTACGAGTGGGGGGGGGGGTGCATTCGGCGGCGTTGGCTCGAAGGCCTCGTATGAAACCATTGGAGAAGCCGTTATTATGGCTTCTCCAATGGTTTCATCGAAGACATCATAAGAAGGAAAGTGAAAAGCCATGCAACCTCTGAAGAGACAACTAACACAACACCTATACCCCCTATTAGACTATTTTACAGGAACTTCTTTTCCACAGCTCATAAAACGGAGGAAAGGGTCCTGAAAGATATTGTTAATAGAAACGTTATCCCTACAGACAAAAATCAGAGGATACAACTGACGATTTACTATAAAACCAGAAAAACGGCCAGCCTACTCATGAGAAACTCTCCAGACACAAAACAGAACGCTTTAAAAGAGACTAATGTCGTCTATGCCTTCAAATGCCCACTTGGGGACTGTAAGCTCCAAAAAACCCAGTATATAGGCAAGACAACAACATCTCTTTCTAGGCGTTTAACGATGCATAAGCAACAGGGCTCCATTAAGGAACATATAATCTCTTCCCATAACCAAACCATCGCCAGAGAAATCCTAGTAAACAACACAGAAATCATCGATAGATACAGCGATAGCAGGCGGCTTGACGTTTGCGAGGCACTACACATCAAGAAGTCAACACCAGCAATCAACAGCCAATTATTGCACAACTATATTCTACCCACCTCAAGACTCCGCTCCAATATAGAAGCATCAAGAAATATGGACCAATAGGCTTTCTACAAACACTTCTATTCAATACCCATTGTTTCTGTTCTGTCTTGTGTTGATACTTTTAATACCCTATTAATATCCCCTCCTGTTCTGTCTTGTGTTAATGCCACATCACCCTTCCCACCTCACTCAAATGTAGATATAAAATCAGAGATACGTTCTAATCAGTTGTGTATTTGTGAAGTCTTTGAAAATGTAATAAGTTTTACGAAACGCGCCCATGTCGCGTCAGACTAGAAATAAAAATGAATTTTGGAGAAGTGATTTTTGATTTACCTCCAACAGTGAAGCGTAATGTACGAAAGATTGAGAAAATTCGTGTTAGAATTATTAATCTTACTTTTTCGGTCATATTTAATAATATATATATATATATATATATATATATATATATATATAAAATGTCAGAACTAACTGAATCCGACTAGCCGAATACCACCTCAATCAGGAAGACAATGCATCCAGGCCAGACAGAGCACTACACCTATACCAGCAAATTAGCCAACCACCACTCCACAAGCCTCCTGCAGCCGAATGAAATCTCAATATGAAGTACAAGATCAACTTCAAGATCGATACCCTGTGCCAGCCCAAGGTGGACAGGCCACCGAACTTTCAAGCCTCCTCATTCACCATCCACATCGTTTACCAGATTTTCAATTCCTCATCCCTCTTCCCCATCTTTTCCAAGTCCTTTTGACAACAGAGACGAAGAAGTCAGCTAGGTCTGTGATGTTATGGAGACGTCATAGTTGAGGTCTAGGTGGCTAGGGACTTGAACCAAATAACAGTGTGATGTCTCCTTCGCATACCGGACAGTCCCTCTGACTCCCCGCTTCATGACGTGACTGTGAAACACTGAACTTCTAGGGGAAGACTTGCTTAACTGACTCTGGTTGATTGGGAAATGGTCACACAACGACCAATGCAGTGCCATTAGCCTGCCAAGCCAGAGAGCAATCCATAGATACCCAGCAAGGTAGACTTTGGTCAAAGATCAGAAAATCTAAGACCGTGCACCAATGGATAACTAAGAAGATTCTACACCGATTTACATATCGTCGTACACTCCCTTGCACATTTTAAGGCAGTCGTGAAATTCCATTCTCTCATATAAAAAAGGGGAAACATAAAGAGTACTCGTAAAACCATTCCTGTCATCTTTGGACGCAAACTACACCAACACAATAAACAGATCAAACTCACCAAAGGCAGTAAAATTCTGGCCTCAGAATAGGTAGCTTGGAAACAGTAATTAAATTCAGTACCTTATTTTCATTACATTCGATGTTGCTTAACTTCATAATGTGATCAAAGCGACATCAGAAACCCAAACCCTAATAATGGTAGATTTTTAACCATGAGACCATAGATTGGATAAATCTAACATCACAAGCAGAGGGATATCAATTCCTAGATCTGTGCAGGACTCCTTTCTCATACAGCAAGTGGGAGAGCCCACACGGGGTAACAGCATAATAGATCTTGTGCTAACATCAGAAGAGGGTATGACTGATCAAATTCAGGTAGGGGAAAAAGTTAACCCCATCATTTGATCACCATATTTTTAGATGAACTACAAATACTCGAAACCCACATAAAGGTTCATAACGAAGAATTTCTAGATTACAATCGAGGTGAATACGAAGGAATGAGAGAGAAACTGCAAAACATCTCCTGGAGGGAACTAATAGGTGAACATGGCATGGAAGAGTTTTGGCAAAAGTTTAAGAAGGTCATCACGGAACTCGTTCAAAAATATGTGCCAAAAAGGACGAAGAAACGAAAGGGAACTAGATGGAGGACTCAGGCAGTAAAGCAATCATTGATAACTAAATGGATTCTCTGCAGAACGTATAAATCCACGATGGACATCAAAGATTATGAAATATATAAATGGGCACTATACTCAGCCACCCAGGAAAGCAGATCAGCCAAAAGGATCTACGAAAAAAACTTGGCAAAAACATAAATTAAGATCCAAAGTCGTTCTATGCCTATATAAGATGTAAAATCAAAGCTAAGGACTCGGTAGAACCTTTAAAAGATGAGACTAACCAAACTATAAAGGGCTACAAGAGGACGGCAAACACTCTAAATGAATATTTTACATCAGTGTTCACACTAGAAAGGTTACATACATCCCATCACCCATACAAATATTTCAAGGTGGTGAAGAGAATTTAGGAATATAACCGTAACATGCGACATAATCAGGAAGAACATTGCCAAACTTGGACTCAAAAGCCCCAGGTGTGGATGGAATACAATCCAAAGTCATAAAGGAACTGGCAGAAGAACTATGCCTTCCACTGAAAGACTGGCAAGGAAATTACAGGGACATGGAATAAATGGACGAATGCTATAATGGATAACACAATGGTTAAAACAAAGAAAACAAAGAGTGGTGCTAAATGAGAATGAATCTGATTGGAGAAATGAGGTAAGTGGGGTGCCACAGGGGTCCATTTTGGGGCCAACCCTTTTTGTCATATACATCAATGACATAGACGAGAATATTACAAGCCACATCATCAAATTTGCAGATGACACAAAGATTTATGGTAAAGTGAGAAATGATAATGAAGCCTTACAAAGAGATCTGCAGGAACTCCACAAATGGTTAGATGTCTGGCAAAGGCTTTTTTAATGTTGACAAATGCAAGACCCTCCATGTGGGGCTTAACAACCCACGCCACAACTACCAAATTAATAACATTACATTACAGCAGATTGATGAGGAAAAGGACCTTGGAATCAAAATCCACCACTCAATGAAAGTTGCACAGCAGGTGGGAACAGCAGTTAAAAAAGCTAACCAAACACTTGGAATAATCAAGCGTACCTTCGATTTAAAAAAATATGGTAGTGATTCAATTGTATAAATCTCTAGTGCACCAGCCCCACCCCTATTAACCCCTAACTAACCCCTATTTGTATTACTGTATCCAAGCATGGAGACCTCATCTTCAGAAGGATGAAAGTGCAACACCGGGTAACAAAAATCATTCCAGAGCTAAGTCAACTCACATATTAGGAACGGGGTATACTACAAACCAGGCATGACATGGCAGATCTTATTGAAACGTTTAAAATACTGAACAAATTTGAGGATGTTCATTCGGAAAATTTCTTCAAAAGTTCAGGTGTAACACAAACAAGGAGCAACAGTTTCAAGCTCATAAAACCACAATGTAGGACTGAGAACAGGAGATGCTTTTTCATCCACAGGGCTATTAACCTCATGGAACTGCCTACCCGCCAAAGCCATTAATGCCAAAACTCTGTTGGGTTTTAAAATACAGCTGGAAAAGATCAAGGCAAATGGGGACCCTTCAACAAGCCACCGGCTTCCTGTCCTCGTCGAGGCAACTAGTGTTTGTGGTTCTCGGTAAACTAATGTAAATAGGGCAACCTTACCATCTTTACCAATTAGTCCCCAAACATTATCTCCATAATTCTCACACAAAACCAAAGTCGGTAAGACAGTGAAATATGTTCCATGATAGTGTATACAAAAAGCTGTTAAAATCCTGTACTTGCACCAGCCTTAGCTACGCTCTCCAACAAACCTCTTGAGCCTTTCCTTATAAAAATATACAGAAAACAATGAACAATTTCACTGCACGACGGAAGTCATACACATGCACTCACACAATACAAATGCACACTGTACATTAAACTTCGAAATTCAAATTTTCACAGTGGTTACAGTAGATTCTACATACATAAAATAAGTGGTTGCAGAAAACAAAGTACTCTTACTTATTTCCGTAGTTTGCCCAAAAAGTTACAGCCCCGCTCCTGTGCCAGGTAAGCCCACAACCGGCTCACCATAGCCTGTGCTACTTGGAACTTTTTGTTCCAAGTAGCGAATCTTAAACAACAACCACCACCTAGTTTGCTCCTATGATTACATGTCCAGCATGAGTTTGTAAGTTACATCAGATAAAGAATATGCAAGTGAATACATTTTAGAGAAGATACCCAATGCTTGTACTGTATATAGGCTAACAATGTCACCATCTATTCATTATCTTAAGTGTATACTCTCTCCAACAGCAACGGGAGAATTTGGTTGCGGCCGCTGAGCGACGCACAGCCATACTGGCTTGGGCTGGACTTGGGTACATGGCTCTTCAGTTTGGATTTCTTGCAAGACTGACATGGTGGGAGTATTCCTGGGATATTATGGAGCCTGTCACTTACTTTGTTACTTATGGTACAGCAATGGGTGCATATGCCTATTATGTTGTCACGAAACAGGTAAGCCTTCTTACTCTTCACATTCTTCTTGAACTCCTCTTCGTCCTTACTTCATTACATACAGAAATCCCAATAGAGTGATGCATCAATTGACGTAGAACGGCCTATTGACATAGCTACAGTGCATGGGGGGGGGTGAGTTGTGCAAAACCATTGTTTGTGCCTCGGAGAGGCTGCAGGATCCAGTAAGTTCAGTAGAACTTCGGTTTAAACTCCTTTTGACCATGTCGTAGCTCAGTCGATTAAGGCAGTGTCTGGGATGCTCTCGGACGCAGGTTCGAAACCTCGTCACGGCCCTTATGGATTTGTTCATTTGATTTACTGTACTTCTGTGAATTTCTAAATTGCTGCAATTAAAAATTTTATATTTTAATCAGTATGTTTATGTTTTCATCAGTATGTAATCAGCTTTAATATTTGACCAATCTTATGCACATTAATGGCTTTATGAAAATGCACCTGTATCTTTCTTTTAACTTTATCCATGCTAATAAATTTGTAACTGTACCCTGTACTACAGTAATATAAATGTTTTGCATGTACAGTACTTATCAATATTGTTACAAAACTCTTACGTTCTTGTAAATAAATAAAATGAAGTTCACATACGCCTGCCTACACTATTTTGAGTGAGAAACCATGGTCTATCTAGTTAGTAAATGTTTCTAGAAATTTGAGCAGATTTCTTTGAAAGGAGTTACTGTATTGCAATAAAAAAAGTGTTGCATGTTTTTTTTCAGTACTGTGCATAACTTGTCCATTGTAATCATTGATATCATCTTATATATAAGGGCTATAAGGGGATAATCCTTAAATTTACTCTAATGTACCTACTAATCCTGTCAAATTTCTTATTCAATGTATTTTTTATACCTCCTTACAATGCATGTTTATACTTTCTTACAATGTATATTTTATACTTTCTTACAATGTAAACCCCCCTCCCCATCCGGCCCATTGGCGCCGTGAGGGGGCTTAGTGGTCGGCTGCCGGAGTGTGATGCTCCATGTGACAGTCCTCTGTTCTTTTCTGGCCTTATGCTCCTGCTGCTGTCTTCTCCAATTGTGCCGGATCGCTTTTCCTTTTCCTTGTGTTTCGTATTTCTCCCCTCTCTTTTCCTATCTGCTTGTCGGTTCCTGCCGACCTTTTGCTTGTTTTGGTTATTCTTTTGGACTATTTTGACATCCAGGTGCTTGAGGAGGCATACTCTTGCACCTGTAGAACTGTAGTGCCCAACGTCGAGAGCGAGGGGAACCTTTTATTGTCAGTCCTCCTTTCGTCACTGTACCCGATCTCGACGGACTGACGGTTCTTAAGGTGGCGTTTGTGGGGCATATACTCACGACGCACCCCTAGGGGGCCCCGACATGATCGGCGATAGCTTCTTGTTGGGTGTCCTGCCTCTAATTGTGGCTCCATGGTGGGCATGGGGCACATTCATGAATGAATGTTTTTCTTTTCATACTTAAGTCAAATTTTATTCCTCTTTTACCTTCTCAGGCTTGTGGGGTGGGCGACCAAGCCGCCAAGTCGAACCATGTTGGAAGACCGGGCTCTGTAGCCCCTGCTGCATTGGGCCCCAACCTTGCTCCTCCTTTGACCTTTCTGACTACTCCCCTCGGCTCCCCCTCCCTCCTCTGTGGTTGGGTCGAGCCCCAAGCTCCCAGTGGTGACCACCTCGTCCCCTGGCACGGCTCAGTCTCTAGTTGTGACTACTGTGCCTTTTAACCCCTCTCTCTCTCTCTCTGGGGGTTCTCAAAACCGTCCTCGACACGGCCGCACTCGCTTGATTCCTTCCCGTACTGATGCGTATCAAGCCTTGTTTGGTCCGCTTCGTGGGCCAAATACTTTGATCTTCTTTCTCTTGATTCTATGCCTCCTGACGATTTCTCCCTCCATAGGTACCTTGTTGATTCCGTAGATGCCTCTGTTACTTTCCACCCCACCCATCTCGGTACACGTGTCATTACTGCTCCTTCTCAGGATACAGCCTCCCGCTTGGCAGCCTTGTCCTGCCTTGGCGAGACCCCTGTTTGGGTCTCCAAGAGCACTCGGTTGAATGCCAGTGTTGGCACTATTCTCCTCCAACCCCATGTTTCTATCGGTGTTCAGAATCTCCAGGACTGCCACGAAGATATTCGTCATATCCTCGATGCCCAGGGCCATTCTGTCCTCCAGGTAGACTCGTTTACTCGTCCCCCTCGTGGTCGTTGCCGTCAACCCCTTCGGGTTGTGAGATTACCTTTGATGGTAGGACTCTTCCACCCTCTGTCATTCTTGCTGGTGCCAGGTGCTCCATCCAGGAGTACATTCCCTCACCTTGGATCTGTAATAAGTTCTGGAGGTTTGGGCATGGTGCCCTCCACTGCTCTGGAACTCTCTCTCCCTGTCCTTTGTGTGGGGGTGAAGGTCACACTAAGTCGGAGTGCACTTCTCCCAAGGCTCGCTGCCTCAATTGCGGTGAGGCCCACCCTACCTTCTCCCGTGCCTGTATACATTACAAGCCTGAGGCAGCCGTCCTCAAAGCACTGGAGCGTTTGTCTTTTCCAGAGGCGAGGCGCCAAGTTCGTCGGCTTCCACCTTACGCTAACATCTCTTATGCTCACGTGTTGCGCTCTTCCTCTCCTCGTCCTTCCCACCTTCCTCAGACTCAAAACCGTTTCCAGGCCTTGGACTCTGATACGCCCACCGCCCCTCCTCTGTTCCTTTGAGTTCTGTCCCGAAGGGTCCCCCTCCTGGTCCTCTGTCTGGGGTTCCCCTTCTTTCTGCCCGGTCTGTCATGTCTCCTGTGTCTTCTTCGTCTCACTCCGATCCCATCCTTCTCCTCCGTCTATTGGCTCTCCACACTGCCTGTCAGTACAGGCTGATGTCCATCGCTCTACCAATGGCCATCGTGTATGCTCTCGTTCTGCTTCTCCTGTTGAGACGCTGGAATTCGTTGCCCAGTACGTAGTTGCTGGGACACCTGTCTCTTTGAGTCAGAAGCGTAAGCCTGGCTCCTCTCCCTCCTCCTCCCCAGCGGGTAAAGAGGCTTTGCTTTCTTCCTCGCCCCCTACTTCTGACTTTCTCGCTTCGTTCCACTCACATTTCATTGGTTACGCCCCCTGTTCCTGCTATGGAGGTCTCTTTGGCCCTCGCTTCCTTTTCGGTTGGTGCCCTTGCTGAGGTGCATCCCCTAGTTTCTGCCTCTGCTACTGCTGTCCTTGACCCTCGGTTATCCCCACCTCTTCCTCCTCCAGATCCTACTCGTTCGCCCCTGGTCAGTCCTCTAGCTCCCTTCGCTCCTTCTTTACTCAGTTTAGCCATGCCCTCTATCCCTGACTTTGCTGACCCTGACCCTGATCCTGCGCTTCTTTAACGTGCTGTGTTCTCTTTTTGATTTTGTTTCTTCGTTGTTCTCTGTTGCTGTCCTTCCTCTTCTCGTCAATGTCTATTCTTCAATGGAACGTTCGTCGTTATTACGCCAGTTTCCTTGAACTCCAGCTTCTGATTTCGTGGTTTTCGCCCCTTTGTGTCTGTCTTCAGGAGCTGATGCTTGGTGCTCGTCCTGGTCGCTTTCGTGGCTATTCCTTTCTTCCTCCCCCCCCCCCCAGCTGTTGTTGGGGCTCCTAACTCTTCTGCTCTCTTGATTCGCTCTGATGTTCCCTTTGTCCCCTTACTTTTTCCTTCGCCTCTCCATTGTTCTGCTGCTTGTATCTTTGTGAGGAACTGGTTCACCGTTAGTTCCATTTATCTCCCCCAGAGTGTCCCGCTTTTTCTTCCCGATCTGAAACACCACCTGAACTCCTTGCCGGAGCCTGTGCTCCTGCTAGGGGATTTCACTTGTCGTCATTCCCTTTGGGGTGATGTTCAGATGAACACCCGGGGTCGCCTTCTTGAGCCCTTCATCCTCTCTTCTTCCCTGTCTCTTCTGAATTCTGGCGAGCCCACGCATTTGGTCTTGCACCCTTTCCTGTCTTGATCTTTCTCTGATGTTCCTGATGTCTCACCGGTCCTTCACCATTCACCTCCGTGGTACTCTTGTGGTGGACCCGTTGCAGGTCGCTACCGAACTGGGTTCCCACTTTTCTTCTGTTAGCTCTGGTTTTCATCTTCCCCAATCTTTCCTTCTTTGTAAACCTGTCCTTGAATCTTGTCCTTTGGATTTCTGTACTCATCTTTGCCTTCCCTATAACGATCCCTTCTCTCTCTCTGAACTTCTTTCTGCCCTGGCCCTCTGCGGTTCTATTGCGGTGGGCTCCAATGGCATTCATTACGAGATGCTTCGCCATCTCCATCCATGTACGTCTCAGTATTTACTGATTCTGTATAATCGGATCTGGGAGTCGTCGTCAGTCCCTGAGGACTGGCTCGATGCCGTTGTCCTCCGTGTTCGCAAACCAGGGTCTCTGGGAACATCCATGTTCGCAAACCAGGGTCTCTGGGAACATCCCCTAAGGACTTTCGCCCTACTGCCGTCACAAGTTGTGTCTGCAAACTCTTTGAACGTATCGGTAACGTTCATCTGATGTGGTTCTTAGAACACCATCACCACCTCTCCCCTTCTCAATTTGGTTTCCGCAAGTGCTGTAGCACAACAGAAGTCCTAGTGAACTTGGAGGTCTATATTCATACTGCTTTTGCTGGGAAGACCTCCGTTGTTGTTGTCCTTTTTGACCTGGAGAAGGCTTACGACACCACTTGGCGATATCATATTCTATCCCAACTTAATTCTTTGGGCCTTCGTGGTTATCTCCCTCTCTTTCTCTGCAGCTTCCCCTCTCATCGTTCCATTTGGATGACACTTGGTACCGCTCTCTCTGCCTCTTTTCAGCAATACGAAGGTGTGCCCCAGGGTAGTGTTCTGAGCACTACTCTTTTTCTGGTTGCCCTCAATGGTCTTCTTTCCTCTCTTCCTTCTGGCATCTTCTCCGCTTTCATTGTCGACGATCTTACCTTTTGGTGTCAGGGTAATGATTCGCCTCTCCTTCAACGTCAGAGGCATCAACATGGCATCAGCT